TCCCTCACCCGGGCAGAGCGACAGTAGAGTTACCTCCACCTTGGGTCCGCCGGAAGAAAGAGAGCGAGAGCTTCCTCTCTCTCCTTATTTATACTCTTGCTTACGTAAAATTGTATGGAATACTGGGAACATGACCTTGGTTCCTTGGTTACAACCTGATCACCAAGGAAGGCCTAGATTCAAAACCACTACACCAGGTCAGAAGATCAAAGCCTCATCAGATTAAAAAAAAAAAAAAAATACATAAACTGTGGCTTTCTGTTCTGCAAAACACTTGTCTGCTTAGAGGCAAACCTGCCACAAACAAGTCTTTAACATCCACTTAGCACCAAAAAAATCTCATCACTGAGGATGATTCATTATATATGGTAAATGGGAGTATGACAAGTAAAAGCTGAGCAAACAGCCCCCCAGTATCCCCCTAATGTGCACCTGGGAAAAAAAAACCCAAGTTTTCCTGACAGTAGAATTCCTTCTCTCAATTCAAGCCTTTAAATCCAAGTTATACAAGAAGTATTTTTAAGTGTTTACTCTTACAAAGACCAACAGAAGTTGTGTTTCTGTGTTAGAATAAGAAACTAAGTCACAGTTAACACTGTCATCAACATAGTAGGTCTGAACCTTGCCTGTACTTCATTAAAGCTTAAATTTAAAATTAAGCTCCAGAAGATAAACTCAAATGAGACACGTGTGGCAGAAAAAGCTGGTACTGGAATGGTAGCACAGGCATGAGTTTGGATTAATTGTAGTGTGAAACTGAACCCAAACTGCACACTGCTGGGGAAATGGATAGTCCTACCCTCCTGCCTGCTCTACTGCTTCAGATCAAGCAAACATGCGAAGTCCCATTACTTGGCTAATTAACCAAAAACAGTGGCACAGGAAATATGTGTGTGAAACACACTGGTTCCAGCCATAGCAAAAAGTGGATTCAAATAGCCAAGTGGTCACAAAATCCTACGGAAGTCAGAGGGCAGGAATGCATGTTCTGGGACAGTAACCCCAAATTACAAAACACATCCCAAAAATTCACCAGTGTAAGAGACTGTTAGTGGGACTTCAGGAGAAACAGTTCCACTTGGCTCTCCTTCCTCATCAAGGTGGCATTACCAGCTTCAAGGAGGTGGTGCAACCTGTCACAGAGCAGGCATTAATGAATCTGGCCCCTGGATTAGGATCCCCTAATAGCTACTGCCATGTGGGATAAAGGGCTGAAGGAACATAGCCCAGAGATGCATCACTTAAAACGTAGGTACACGTTACTTTACATTCAGCACGTTACTTTTCTAAACAAAATCTGAAGTGCTGGGTTTAAGCTCCCTGTTACACAAGCTCTCAAGAACTACCAGTTGAATTTGACAAAGCCACACAAGACTGATCTTGTGTCTGAAGTTATTTCCCGCTGCATTAATTTTTGGCTCTGTCATTAATTTTTGGCTTGTCTCAACAAAAAGCAAGTTGGCTTTTTGTGTTGCTAATATAAGTCAACCAACTTTAAATAAGGTTTTCTATTTACTCTTGAGAAAATAATAAGTAAATACAGCTGTTAATATACAAATCTAAAACAAAGGCCTAAAAACCAGCTTATCACATACACATTGTAAAAGAGTTCACAAAAATAATTCAGAAATTGAGTTGTGGACATACATGCCTTAAAGAGATGTTCAGCTTTTGAATATAATTGTTACTAACAAGGAGTCACTTCACATCCGTCCCTCCACCCAGTACAGTTAAAATCCTCCACAGAATTATGTCCATATGACCACAACTTGTTTCTCCTATTCAAAATCTCAGCTCTAACCAGATTGCCCAAGAAACAGCAGAATTGGTATAGGGAAAAAAGAGGTGGTGAACTGTTTTAGAAACCAAAGTTTCTTGGCATCAGTATAGACACAGAGAGCTAATCACTAACAGGATGCATGCGGCATCTCTAGGAGTACAACTCTCAAAAAGGTCGAGTTTATCCCTAAGCTGCAGGTGTATCATTGCACACTGAAATGTTCTCATCTACATAGATTCCTGATCACCTCATCTTCCATTAGGATCTCTTTTGCCTTGAACAATTTAACTGCATTGTCAGTTAAACTGGGATATTCCTCTACCCAATTCTCTCTTTTTAAAGAACTCAGTATTTCATTTGGGTATCAAAATCTCTAGATTTGACTTCCTAACATACCTATGAGAGAAAAAAAAATTAAATTCCTTATCAATACTTCAACTCCAGTTTATTAAACAAAACCAACAACAACAAAAAATCCTAATTGCTCTTTTACGTAGGTGCTTGCAGCACTGTTGACTGATAGGTGAAACAGAATTCTGAAGTATGGGACAAAACAAGTAGTTAATTATGTTGAAATGCAAGTTTAACAAGGTTGTTATCAAGTAAACAGAAGCGACATCTTAAATCAGCTAAGTCTTCACTGCTGACCTTTTATATTTCTGTTGTTCTGGGTGTTCCAAGACAAGTCTTCCTAATTTTCTGTTGATAGCTATGAAGTGCTTGGCGTCAAAAGGATGTGATCACATTTTGTCTAGCATTAGTCTTCTCTGTGACAAGCTACTCCATTTAAATAGACTTTACTTTGCACAACCCTGGCAGACAGCATTCATTACTAAAGCTGAGCAGGTTATGAATAATGTGATTTATTCTGTAATTTTTGGCTCTGTGTTCAAGATACCAAAACAGATAATAATAACTCTATTAATCCTCTTCGGAAATCTTCAGACAAATTCACTCATGTGTTTAGAGCTCACTCAAAACCTCTTGAAAGATGTTAGCAGCAAATAAGCTCTGCAGGAGTGTTAGCATAGAGGTGAAATCTGTTCACCACCTACATATTTTCTATGTAACTCATTTCATTATCTGCAAGGGCTATCAAGAAGTGAAGCACAAAACTCATTTCCAGACTGGTCCATCAGAATCCTTAAACAAGTTGCAGGGGAAAAATTAAAACCAAGTTTTCACAGGACATGATTTCAGCAGTAAATTTCTCCACATGAACTTTCATCAACAATTGGGGGGGGAATATAGAAAACCCAGTAAGTTTTAAATGTGTGATCCTGTCTAAGTACTGCTTCTGTGAAGAATTTTAACTACCAAAAATGGTACAAAAGTGTGGTTTTGGAGTGTACAGACTGAAGCGAATCACATGTAGACTAAGCTCTCAAAAATGCCAGAGGGTGTGACTGAAAATGGAAAGGCAGTCAGCCAAAAAATGAACACCTAAAAGCCAAGAAACAAAGCAGCAGAGTGCAAAAGGGTTAAAAGAAAAAAGAAACCAACAAAAAAACACCCAAGAAAAATAAAACTCAAACCCCCAAAACATGCTAGGAAAACCCAAACCACTACACTTCACCACTTATGCCATACTAAAACCCCATGAAAACCAGAAATGCTTCCAAATTCAGCACTAAGCAAGAAAGGAATCGAAATGGCAACAAATTGCTTTCTGTTAGTACTGTAGCTTAGCTAGAGAGCTCAGTTCAACTCCAGACTCTACCTGGTACTATACTCACCAAATTTGCTTTCATGTGGAGCAGACAGAAATTTTACACCCTTTGAAAAAACCCTCAGTACTTCAGCCCAGATAGTATCCCCAGTGTTTTCCAGATCTGCTCTAAGCATTTAGGCCATGCATTGAAGACAAAAAGGGAAATGAAGGCTGGGTATTTTTTAACCAATATAACCCATGTGTAATATTTAAAAATCAAGACTAAAAGCAGGCATCATTTAATGTATTTTAATAGCAAACTTACAGGAACAGCACAGAAGACAGACAACATTAAAAACATGTACTTGCATGTAGGACAACTCAGTTAGAAAAGTATAGTGAATGGATGGAATCTACCGTATGATAAAAATGCTACAAACACCATTTAGTTGCCATTGATAAGAAATTTACTTGTTTAAAAAAATCCAAATGCTGGCATTGTCCAGAAAAATTTGACAGGTTTATTTATAATTTTTTTTTTTTGTTGTTATAAAGTCGTTTTGGTGAACAAGTTTCAACAATTCTTTTTTTTTTTTTGACCACGTTTTGATTGTTTTATGTCCCCTCATTTATATTAAAAATCCACACATAAATGAAAATGGAAAGAAAATTTGCCAATACCCAATTCTGTCCCCTCTTTTTCCACTTGCAACCATATACTTAAGGTACCTTTTAACCCCATGGAAAAAATATCTAATGTTCATTACTACCAATAACAGGAAGAAGATTTTGCTTCGAGAATGACAAACCCATCTCAGTGAAGTTTAGGCACGCTCTCCACGTATGCGGCGTGCTAGCTGGATATCTTTTGGCATGATTGTGACACGTTTGGCATGGATAGCACACAGGTTGGTATCTTCAAACAGGCCAACCAAGTAGGCTTCACTTGCCTCCTAGAGTGGAAGAAAAGAGTTAAGAACACTTTGACTCTCTGAGCGTTGGGAAAAAAAGAAATCGTAATTAAGAATTAAAAGTACGATGTCACATGGCATAAAGTTAAGATTTCTCTCTTTATTACTCACAAATATCAAAAGTTCTAGATTTTCAAGATTAGAAGGTTTCATTTTCTTATAAACCACCAAATGATATTCTACGTCAAAGTAGTGCACTGCTGCCATTTGGTAAAGACATCTGCCAGAACACAACTGAGCCAATACTCTTATGGGACTCTCACAAGATAAGGAAGGGGTTATCTTATCAAAAGGTTAGTTTGTTTAGGAAATTCTCTTTTCAAAGGCTGGGTTACAGTATTTGAGTGACTTGTTTGGTGCCTCTACCGCTGTAAGAGTTACTGTGCATCAGGTGCTGGGCAAAACAAGAGCAGGTATGCCTTCAAACCACACCGTTTGGGTGCAGAGCTCCGGCCACAGGATACTGAAGAGGTGGCTTAATTCAAAAGTCAAAACGAGCAGAAAAAATGAACTGAGAATGACTAGAAATAGGAGAAAACTCCTTTAGCTCAGGAACTTCTCTGACTGCAGTCCTGGTTCTGGTGGTTCAGGAAGTACCATTAGACACTTATCCTATTTCTATACTTTCTTCCTGCCTTCCTGTCTATTTGGGGACACAGCACAGGCCCCCACTGTCACAGGAGGTTCTCACCTCACATCTGTGAGACTCAGAGGGGCAGCACCTGGAATAGAGCAAGAAGCTCTATCCTGGGAAAATCACACTGTGGTCACCATGCTTTCCCTGTTACTGAACAACAGCAGACAGGATTCCAAGTCAGACAGATGCTCAGTTGGACCTAATTATTCTGACTCACGTTATGTTAGCTGCTGTTAAGCCCAGCACAGCAATGTTTACCCATTTTTGGGTTGACACAGAATCAATCTCCTAGGAAGCATCTTAGCATGCCAGTATCAGACCAGGACACAGCAAATAGCTGTGAGAAGGCAGGAATGTTATGGGTCACTTATGGAAAGGAGGCTGAGGTCACCCTTTCTAGAATGCATGCAAGACAACAGATTGTGTGAACCACTTCACTACCCTGAACTGCAAAAATCAACTTACTAGGTTCAAAGACCCTGTTTAAAAACATAGGATTTTCTAACATGAAGAGAGAAAAATATTTACTACAGAAGATATGGACTGTAGCATTACTAAGTCATTTCACATGCAGTAGCCCTAAAAAAGCTTTTTTAAATCACTACATGAAAAGTTAAGACACTTCACCAAAAAGCCACGCTGGCACAAGTAACATGGTACCCAAGGGGTTAAAAGTTTTTGGGTTTGTGTTTTTGGAAAGCTTTTTTGCAAATATGCAAGCAGGAAGCACTAGGAATAATGTGACCAATTCCTATACCAACAACTCCTTAGTGCAAAAGCAGGAATGTTCAAACCCGCCTTCTGAAAATGTATTAACTACAAATTTTAATAAGCAGTTCTAGATAAAAAGGCACATTGGTAAACCTCAGGATTTAAGAAATGCTAGACAGAATACTTAAAAGCAAAAGCAGCAACTCCGCAAATGCACACAGCCACCTTTTGAAGCTAAGCATGTGCTCAAGTTTATAGGATCTCATGGCATATGTCTTGGCCCTCTATCAAGTGGAAGTCATTAACTAGAAAGAGACCATTTTGCCTGTATGTCAGACAGTCTACAATTACAGATGGGTTCTAGAACAATCTCTCAACAGCTGAAAGAACAGTAAAGACCTATCTTTAATCAGGAGTGTTTTTTTATCATGCGAGGGAAACATTCCCATGATAAGAAGTCATGAGTCTTACAGGGGGCCCTAACTAAGATTCAGGAATTTGGGTCAGAAAGAGCAATCAACATTTCACTCTCTGTACACTCTGAATAAGTTATATAATTAATATATTTTAAAAAATGTGTTTAGCATCAACTACATCATACAAAAGCACCTATTTCCCTAACTGTGTTTAGATGTGGCTCACCAAACTGCTTTTCTTTAAAGAGCATTTGAGGACACCGAGGCCTCCATTAGGACACACCAGAATGAGCTTTACACGATGCTTTCCTCTCAGACTGCAGAGCTTTCAAAGGCAAAGCCTCTAGCGAAGCTCAAGGATGGAGGAAGCAGATTTTCTTAAGTGTCTTAATAAGGTGCCCTGTTCTAACTGCTTGAGGGGTGGGGGCTATTTAAAAATAAACCAAGACAGCCCCCCCCCCCCCAAACACATTTACAGCCTTTGTAAGGAGCTGCTGACCTGTCGCTGCATTATTTCAGCCCATGGTATCCACAGGCATCACCAGGTCCACTCCAAGCAAGCAAGGCAAGGCTGAGGTGTGCCAACTCCCCCACCCCGGATCAGCCCCGCCCCAGGAGGGGCCCCGCCCACCGCGGCAGCCCAGCAATCAGGCAGAGCCGAGACTAACCCTGGAAACAGCCTGGCCAATGGGGGTGGGAGGCGGAGCCCTCCAGCACCGCCAGCCCCCAGGTCTGGGGGGCTTCGGGGGACGCCTGGTTGTGATGGCACTTCCAGCGCTGACTCGTGCCCCCTGAGCCACCCCCAGAGAGCCCCCTCGGCGAGGCTCACCTGCAAAGCACCGATGGCAGCGCTCTGGAAGCGCAGATCTGTCTTGAAGTCCTGAGCAATTTCACGCACCAGACGTTGGAAGGGAAGTTTGCGGATCAAAAGTTCAGTGGACTTCTGATAGCGCCTGATTTCACGCAGAGCCACAGTACCCGGCCTTTTAAGATTAAATAATTAAAAAAAAAAAAAAAAAAGTTAGTATTTGAACATATTCTGCATCACTTTAAAAATGTGAGTTCAACATCCAGACTAAATTAAGCACCATATTCTTTTTTTTCCCTAGAAGGGTCAAAGCATTTACAATATGAAACTACTTCACTGGCAAGGGGCCACTGTCTTATCGCCATCAATCTCTGCCAACCTCCACTGTCCTCAACAGGGTTCCCCCAGGTCAGGCAGCCCTTGAGCCCTCATTTCCCTGAGAGGAGGACAGCACGTGCTGATTGACACCAACACAGCTCAGTGCAGATGTGGCAAATGATAAAGCTGCCATGAGTTCAGCTGTAGCACAGGTACCCTCACAGCAATCAGCCTGACAGCAAGCACGGTTTTAAGGGAAATCTGATTCTTCTTCCTGTCAACATTCACAGAACTAACAAAAATTTACATTCTGTGTTATATTATCAGTACAAAGTACCCAGCATATTTCCTTGTGTTAAGTTTTGGTGTCAGAATAACAAATTTAGACTTACAGCATACTCTTGCAGACACAAAGTCCATCTGTGAAATTAATACCACGTTTATTTCTGTGAGAACTTTGTATTTTCCTGCTTCAGCTTAATTATCATTTTCCCAATGGATTAATTCTGCCTCACACCTACAGCAACAGACAGAATCACAGAACAGTCCAAGTAGGAAGGGACCACAGTGGGTCATCTGGCCCAACCTCCCTGCTTGAGTAGGGTCCCTCCTGAGCAGGTTTCTCAGGATTGTGTTCAGATGGCTTTTGAGTATCTCCAAGGCAGGAGACTTCACAATCTCTCTAGGTAAGCTGTTCCAGTGCTCAGTCACCCCCGCAGTAAAGTTCTTCCCTATGTTCAGGTGGAAATTCCAGTGCATCAGTTTCTGCCCGTTACCTCATGCCCTATTACTTGGCCCCACCAAGCAGAGCCTGGCTCCATCCTCTTGACACCCTCCCTCCAGATAGTTTTACACACTGCTAAGACCACCTCTCAGACTTTTAGAAGAAGTCTGCTATTTCAAACTGACTCCTTTCCGATCCGTGTTTTCCCCACGAAACACATCAGCCTAACCCCAAGCCATCCTCCCCGAGCTGGAGCACGGCTGTCGCCATTCCACACCGAGCAAGGAGCGGAGAACTTCCCGAGCGGAGGAGGCTGTTTTGACAGCTCGGCCGGCGAGTCCCGCCCGGCCTCCCGAGCGCCGCTTTTTTGGGTTCCCGGCGCGTCGGCGGGTGCGCGGCGCCCTCTCGCGGCCGCTGTGCCGCCCTGCAGGGCCCTCGCGCCGGAGCCGGCCCCGCCGGGGATCGCGGTACGCGCCCGTAACAATAAACTTGGCGGCGCGGCCTCGAAATAACCATAAGTACGAAATTATAAAAATTAAAAAAAAAAAAAAATACAAGCCGCGGTCGCCGCAAGGAGCGGAGGGGGGAGTTGTCGATTTTTTAGGGACCGGTACCGGAACGCCCGGAAAGGGGTTGATGGTAAATGCCGGGGGTCGGTGCCGCCCTGGGAATTTCTGGTTATTTTTGCGCTAGGCGGGGACCCGTGCTTGTCTTTTTTTTTTTTTTTTTTTTTTTTTTTTTTTTTTTTTTTTATTTTGCCGGCATGCGGGTGGCCCCGGGGAGCGGGCGCGGAGGGAGTGCGGTGGAGGCGGGGAGAAGTGACCCCCGCCCCGCCGACCCCGCGGGGATGGGGGGAAGGAGAGATTCGGTGGGAGGTGTTCCCGGTACCGGCCCGCGGCCGCCTCTGCGCGGCGCTGCGTTACCTGTAGCGGTGCGGCTTCTTCACCCCGCCAGTGGAGGGCGCGCTCTTGCGGGCGGCTTTGGTGGCGAGCTGCTTGCGGGGCGCCTTCCCGCCGGTGGACTTGCGGGCGGTCTGCTTGGTACGGGCCATGCTCCTGCCGACGTCGCTGCCTTACACCTGCCGGGGGGAATGTGGGGAGAGGGGCGACGCAGGGGGGGGGTGGTCGCCCCGGTCAGCGTGCGCCCGCCGCGGCACCTGCCCCCGGGGCGGGCGGGAACGCTGCCCTCCCGTCCTGCGCAGCGCGACCCTGCCCGGCGAGCCCTGAGCGCCGAGCACGCTGATAGACAAGCGAAAAAAAAAAAAAAAAAAAAAAAAAAAAAAAAAAAAAAAAAAAAAAAAAAAAAAAAAAAAAAAAAAAAAAAAGCACCATAAAAGGGGAAAAAATTAGAAATTAAACGTCTGCCTATCGCAGAATATTAAAATACAGCTTTTTTGCCCACGAATTCAATACCGAGGCGGCGGCGGCTGAAGACGAGCGAGCCGCGCGGTAGCAGGCGCGGAGAGGCGGCTGTAGCCTCCCCCCCGCCGGCCGCCCGTCACCTGCCAAATGTTTGCAAATACCGCCCGGCAAACATCGGGGGGCTGGCACGGACCCGCCGCTCCCACCCGCCGGAATACCTCCTCCGAACCTGCGGAGTGGGGGAGAGCAGAGCGGCAGCCCCCGCCGGCCCTCCCCGGGCTGCCCGGCGCTCGCCGCCGCCCGCCTGCGCTCCCCGACCCGCCGGCAACCGCAGGCAACCCGGGGTTTACCGTGCAAAAAGGAAAGGGGCCGGATAAAGTGGTAGAAAGCAACAAACTTTTTTTTCGGGGGGTTGTTTTCTGGGTGCCCGTCTTTCTCTTTCTGTGTAACTGCTTCCCCAAGAGCTGCCTCGCTCCCAAGCGCCTCTCACAGGCAAACTCAGCTCCCAGAGCCAGAACAAAATGGAAACAATCACGAAATGCAGCCCTAGTCCTTTTGCAAAGGAGGAAAAAATAAACTGCGAAAAATAACGCCAAAAATATCGCCAGGAACTCCAAACCATGCGGGTGCAGATGCACGGGGAGGCAGCGGAAAAGTTTGCACTCGAAAACCAAAAAATTGCGTTGCGTTTGGGTCGTTCCTTCGGCGAATTTCTTTCCCTTTTTATTGTTTTTTATGCAATAGGAAAAAAAATATGGTCGGTGACCAGAGAAAAGAGACAAGATGGTGAAGCTGAGCAACAACTGTGGGGAGCAGGGGAAGGAAGGCAGGAGAGTTACCCTGGGCTGGCGAGAGGCTCCTCTTCGCGGCCGCTTCCCAGCCCCGATTCGGGGGATGTCGGGCTGAGGAAGCAGCTAAGGGGTTGGGGAGGCGGCTGGTGGGGGTCTGGAGCGGGGGCGAGGGGAGCAGAGGGGGGCAACGACCGCGCGAAGAGGGGCCGGGGGTGCCGGCGGAGGGAGCCGCTCCGGCTGCGCCGGGAAGGCGGTGCGGCGAGGGCGAACCGGCGCCGCCGCCGCCGCCGCCTCCCGAGCCCCCCAAAAGTTTGTGGGGAGGGTCGGCGGAGGGCGGCGGGTGGGTGTCGGGGCGCGGGGGGGGGTGGCGGGCGCGGCGCCAGACTTACCCCGTCCGCTGGGCGAGCGCGGCTGCCGTGCGGGAGGGAAGGAGGGAGGGATGGAGGGCGGGCGAGCGGGCGGGCGCAGGAGGAGCCGGAGCTGCTGCGGCTGCTGCTGGCGGCGGCTCGGAGCACAATTGAAAGATGGCCGACCCGGGAGGGCCGGCCTCGCGCCCGGCCCCGCCCCCGGCCCGCCCGCCCGCCAATGGCGCACAATGGAGGGAAGGAGCGGCCCCGCCCCCGGCCCCGCCCCCGCCCCGTGTGTACAAACACAAAAGGCACGCCGCGCGCGCCGGGGGATTTCCCGCGCCCCACGCGCCCTTCCCGCGGGCCAGGAGCACCCCGGGACACCCCCCACGTCAGCCCGGGCACCCCCGGCTCCGCCAGCCCCGACTCCTACCTGCCCCACCTCCTACCCGCCCCACCTGCCGGGAGCCGGCTGGGCCTGGCCAAAGCATGAGGGGATCCTGTCTTCCCCCTACTCGGTTTTGGGTGGGATTTTGGGGGCAGTTCATGATCACTGGGCGGCCAACAGCACTAGAGAAGTGATTCTCCCCCTGTAGTCGGCACCGATGAGGCCACACCTCGAGTGCTGTGTCCAGTTTTTGGCTCTTCAATTCAGGAAAGACATGGAAGTGCTGGAGCAAGTCCAGAGTAGGGCAATGAAGGTGGTGAAGGGGTTGGAACATAAGTCTTACGAGGAGCAGTTGAGGGGGCCAGGTTTGCTCCTGGGGAGGAAGGATGCTCAGGGGTGACCTTATCACTTTCTGTAACTGCCTGAAAGGAGGTTGTAGCCAGGAGGGGGTCAGTCTCTCTCCCTGGCAACCAGCAACAGGACAGGAGGATGTAGCCTCAAGCTGCTCCAGAGTAGGTTTAGGTTGGACACTAAAGGAATGTCATCACAGAAGGGGTGATTAGGCATTGGAACAGGCTGCCCAGGAAGGCAATGGAGTCACCATGTCTGGAAGTGTATAAGGAAAGACTGGAGATGGCATTTAAGTGCCATGGTATGGTTGGCATGGCGGTGTTCAGTCATAGGTTGGACTCGATGATCTCAGAGGTCTTTTCCAACCTAATTGATTCTGTGATTGATTCTGTGATTTGTTTTCTTTATATAGAAACAATGCAAAAAAATTTTCCCTGTAAGTTGGCCCATCAGAATCCACCTAGCAAGGATCTGCCATGGAATTGCCATGCTCCGGCAAAATGAAAGCTGAGCATCAGGAGGAAACTGCTGGCCTTGCTTCTGACTCAGAAACACACTGAAGGCACAACGGTTCATATTGAAAATCTGCTCTTGAGAAAGGAAGAGGAGCCCCATTCCCTGCATTAGGGCTGTCAAACTGTTTCAAGTTTGAAATGCAGCTATTAGAAAAGCAACTGTGAGTTTAGTGGTGTCATTGCCGACAGATCCAAACCAGTTGTATCCTCTGCCGTGTTGCTTAATGAGAAAATCTGCTCTTACTTTATTTTCTGCTAATGTCAGAATCTAAATGCCCTGTGGGAAAGTAACCTGCATTCTAATACAAATGAACAGTCACTTGCAATTTTCTTAACCACATTTCAACTACAGAGTCAGGTTCTCTACTCACACAAAGTCGTGCCACCATCTTGTCTGTCATTTAGGCATTAGAAGGAGCCATATTTGATTTGCAAAATCTTTGTTACGTGTGATGATGTAATACAGTTCTGTGTGGAGACATCCAAGTCACCTCCAGCAGTAGAAGTGGTTTAGCCATGTGAGCAGAGAAATTCACTTGGGGCTAACCAAACCTGACAAGAAACAGAAGGTTATCGTGGGCAGAACACCCTGCTAAAATAGATATAGTCTGCTTTGGTACTCAGACAAACACAACAGGCTGCACTACACAGATGGGAGTAGATATACCAGACACACCTCTGACCCAACAGTGAGTTTATGGAAGGTGACTGTCAGGAAAAAGAAAACACAAAGCATTTTCTTTATACTTACAGAAGTATCAGTGGAGGAATTTATCTATTGATAGTATTTTATGGGAGAGCAGCACCTTACTGTACAGCTGGAATGAGAACTCAGGGCTGTACAGTATTACAGGATGGAGTATTTGCCAATGCTCTGTAAACACTAAAAGCCAGGCACCGAAACAGGCATTAATTCCCAACATAACACGCATGTCATATGATAAGCATCTGGAAAAGTTAAAAGCCGGCAAGCGCTATAGTTCCCAGCCGTAAGAAGCTGCCCAGAGGTTAATAATCCATGGGTTGTCCCTGTCAGCTTTTAGCTCTGCACGGAGGGGAGGAGGGAGAAACGGCGCTTCTACCGCTTCCCGGCTGCTCCCCGCGACCTTCTCCCGCAGCGAGGAGCTGCTCCCTGGTGTCCCGGCGGCAGCGGGGCCGGGCGGGACCCAACCCCGAGGTCACCGGCAGGGACCCGGGGCCCCCGCGTGCCGGGGCTGCCGCGGGTGGCACTGGACGTGACCCCGCCGCCATTGGCGGGAGCGCCCTGGAATTCCATGACGCCAGGCGGGGCGGGGCGCGGCGAGAGGCTGTCCCGGCCCCGGAGCTGCACCCTCCCGCAGCGAGACACTGTTTTCCTACGGGAAGCTGGGAGCCGATCGAGCCTTCCTGTCTCCTCCTGGACTCCAGGGCCGTTCCCGCCCTGCCGCTGGCAGCTCTGGATGGTTTAAAGTGCGTACGAAATACAGCAGGCAGGACCACGGCGCACAGCCTGCCCGCTGCCCGCACCGGAAGACACGGAAAGCCCAGAGAAGGAAAAACTATTCCAATATTGTCAGGTTTTGCACCCTCATTTCATCCTCGCTGATTAATGTCGTTAAACCCGTGTTTTTCCAGGGCTGTAGAAACAGCAACGACTCTGGGACAGCCCTTTGAGCTTTGACACAAATATTGTTTGTGGTGCCCACAGGACAGCGCGGAAAGAGCTGGCCCAACTCTAAAAAGACTCCAGACGTTTGTCTTTCGCTGGCAGCACTGATAAGAGTTTGCTCCTCCTTTCCGAGGGCCTTTATCTCTGCAGACCACAGGCATCTTCCACCCTTAGGCGTCTGTAAGCGGCCATGAAGGAATCTAACCTAATGAGATTCCACTGGTTTAACCTACAATAACATGCCAAGGACAACTGCAGCACTTCATCCTCACCCACTGTAACTACCGCTGCTGCGAACGTGTCCAGATTGCTTTGGGAAATAAGATTAGGGTGGAAAGCAGCTGGTGCAGATTGGAGCCAAAGAAGACTTCAGTGATAATGGATAGAAAAAGAGTAACATTCAAATTAGAAGTTGTCAGAGATGTTGTTTAGCACCTTGCACAGAAGGCACTCAGCCCTCTCTCAGAAAAAAAAAAAAAAAAAAAAAAAAAAAAAAAAAAAAAAAAAAAAAAAAAAAAAAAAAAAAAAAAAAAAAAAAAAAGGAAGATTTCCACAGCTCATACTTGTTTTGCCTGTCCAAGTAGCAGATATTTTTCAAAATACTCTCTTTCACCTTTCCCTTGTTGGGAAACACTCTCTCTTCTCCCATCTTGCCCAGGAGACTGGGCAGAGGAAGACAGACTTTTTTCCCATTAGTTGGGATTAGTTGCAACTCAGTCGATCAAGCTAAAAACACTGTTTCAAAATTGTTACTGGGGAAAAAATAAACCACATTGTTTCTTTGGAGCTAAGGCTTCAAGCTAAAGACCTTTCCAAATAGCTTCTAAGAAGTATCCAGTGCTGGTGTAAGACACTGGTCCTGTTGGCAAAAGAGCTACCAGATCATCCCCAGTAACATCACAGACTGCAGGAAGATCTACAAACAACTGTAACAGCTGCTTCCTTTTGCATCAGCACAGCTTACAAGCCCCAGAATAAAACACAGAGAAGCAGATAAGTTTGCCTTTTTTTGAAGTTACTTAGACCAAAAAAAAAAAAAAAAAAAAAAAAAAAAAAAAAAAAAAAAAAAAAAAAAAAAAAAAAAAAAAAAAAAAAAAAAAAAAAAAAAAAAAAAAAAGTGAGGCCAGACTGTGATTGTTTTTAAGCAAAACTTGTAGGTATCTTTGAGAACATTGATGATTTATCACCAAATGGTCTCTGATCAAAGAAGAAATATTTCTTTCCTATCCCTCCCTGAAAGCACAAACTAAACATCCAAATTCCTTAGGATTACTTAGTCTACTTCTATTTGAAAACATAAAGGGGAAGTGGGTGTTGTTACTAATTTTATGTAAAAAGCTACTCAGACATTTCACTGACGGAAGGAGTATAAGACTACCTTTATTTATTTACAACCTTCACTTGACTCCTACTTTCATGTGTCCCTTCTCAGACCCAATTCTTCTTTCCTGTTGTCAGTGAGATCCATTTCTCTTGTCTAACTAATCAAACCTCCAACCACTCTTTGCACTCCAGATCTGCACATTCACATCGCCTTAGATCCCAGCCTGATGGCCATTTTATGATTTCATATTCCCTACACACCTCCTTGACTCAATGTATTTGCTCAGACAGTTGCATTTTTCTCTTTTTTCTGTTTGTTCATATCCCTGTGTTTCATTACCTTAGTCCTGATGCCAAATGGTTCCCACCTTCTCCTAGTTTTTCAGCCAGTCCCAGTCCCATACCTGCTGTGTTTCCTTCTGCAGCTCCCAGGCTGGACAGCCTTTCCTAGCCAATTTCAATTCCATCCTTAAAAAACCACTGGACTGTGTTGCCTCATCCTCACTCCAGTCCTGGCAGGCTTGCCACCCAGTTTCTGGTTGTGGTTGCTATACACTTACAACTTCTTCTGAAAATAAAAGTAAAATGTCAGTACAAAATGCTCACAAGCTTTAAAACTATCTTCCTCTTAAAATGTATTCTGACAGAATTAAAATATTTGTAGCCTTAACTTAGTATTAACAGTACGTTTTGGTGCAGATTTAAATGTATTCTCAAATAACAATCTGCATAAAACATGAAAATTCACCATTTCCACTGTTTTTACCAGGAAGTTACCAGGGGTGTGAATCACTGGCACTCGTTAAAGAAAGTGCAAGTTATCCAAAACTTTAAAATTATTTACAATAACTTTGTGTTAATAGCTTTCTATTAGTATTTGTTTTGAAGCTTTCTATGTCATGAATTTGTATACCACAGCAGTTACACCATTATAACAGCAGCCATTGTAATGCACAGTTGT